TGTCCATTTTCTAACAAATGTCCAACATTAGAGAAAGTCAGATGAAAAGGCTACATTGGCGGTGGAATACTATGCAATCATTTAAAGTATTGGGGGACGTTTTCTTAAGCAATCCTCCACTCCACTCTGCAAATCTGCCTGCTTCCTCTTTCCCCTGTGAAACATTCCCTTGATGTTCTTGTCCCTGTGTGGGCTTCTCAATAGTAGGCTGCACCTCCCCCTAACTATGGAGTTGCACGCTTTCCTCCTGTGCACTAGGTCTGTTCCCAAGCACAGGAATACTACTGGGACTTGTTGCTGCAACTGCTTAATTTAATTACATGCTATGGAAACCCGTGAAGGCTGCTAAAAAGAAGAGAGTGGTGATCACTAGAAAAATTAATGTCAATACTTGGGAAGACTTGAGACAAAGTGGTCACTTAAATAGTCAAATCAGAGGTCAGAAAAATCATTCCAAAAGATCAGGCAAAAAAATCATAAAAATATCAGGCAACTACATTGAAATTGCTTCCAAGTACCTTTCAGTCCCTAGGGGATTTTAAATAAAATGGGAGAAATCTGACTTTATCAACAGGATGGAATGATGCTGGGATGGGAGTGATCTATGCACAGAGGACAGTAGAGCATCTAATAGCAGACCCACCCCAAGGGCAGCATTTTTACTGAGAGCTTCAAAAGCTACTAATGGCTGTGCATTTTCAGTAGCAGTCAAAACATTGACTCTGTGTGTAATATTCTCCCCTCTTCCTCTGATGTTTGAGCTCATTGACTCACTTGAAGTTCCATCCATGCTGACGGCAGGAATTTTATTGTCCTTAGAAAACAAGTGGGGACCAGGAGTGTCCCAGTTCCCCCAAGGTCCCCAGTAACTCCACCCAGTCCCTGCCAGAGCAGCTGAGGCACCTCAGGTTGCCAAGAGATAAAGGTTGAAAGAATAAACTATGTAGCAGAGAGAAAAATGCTTCTTTAAAAAAAGGCCAAAGAAAGAAGAGGATACATATGTATCAACAGTACGGTCTCCTTACACGTGTAGCCAAGTAGGCAAAGCCAAAAGGAGGGCTTATGATTACAAAATAGTTCCTGGCATAGAAGGGATCCTGGGAAGTTCCATACATTCTTAAATTGTCCCTTAAACATTGGCACACTCTTAACAGATTCAAAAAGATACTAACCAAAAAGAAAGGAAAAAAACCCGAACGCCATTTTTGTTTGCACTTGACATACAAAATCAAACATGAACCAGGACCGGGATGGCTCAGTTGATGGAGCGTTTGCCTAGCAGGGATGAAGTCTGAGTTTGATGCTCAGCACCACGTAAGGTGGGAATGGCGGCACACACCTGTAACCCCAGCACTGGGGATGTAGAGGCAAGAGCACGCAAGGTCCTCTTTGCCACTTAGCAAGTTTCAGGCCAGCTACATAGTGTGTTTGGGGCTAGCCTGGACTATATGAGATACTGTCTCAAAAAGAAAAAGAGAAAGGGATGAGGAGGAGCAAGAGCAATTTCTCTTTCCAAGTTCTCTCACACTTGGGCTTCCTCTAACATCTGTCCATCTGACCATCTCAAACAAAGTGTAAGGTTCTGAGTTGGAGCCTGTACTAGGAACTACTTGGTGTTTTCAAGCCAACAGGATACATATTTTAAAGTCTGAAGTTAACCACCCTGTCGTTTAACATCTACTTGGTTAAAAAAAAATAATGTTCAAAAAATACAATTTACATTCTCAAGAGATTCTCACACACCATCTAATTAAATCATTCAATCAGAAAACAAATTAAAATGAAATATCACTTTGGTCCCCAAGAGGAAAATCAACTTTTCAGTCATGACTAGAACAGACCTCTAGGGTGCCGCTCCAAAGCCTCTTCTAATTGCAAGTCCTCAGAACATCCTGCTGAACACTCTGACATTTGCAGCTTCCTGGACAGCTCTCCTTCCAAAGAGAAGAGGCGCTTGGGCGATGCTCTGAAGCAAAGCTTGTCCTTCAGAAACTGGCAGTGCCCCTACTCATGACTAACTAGGATGCTGGGCATCAGTTCAGGGTAGTCACTCGTCTGTCCAGACTGTCTGTCTCTCTTCCACCTGCCAGGGACTACCAAAGAGTCATCAAACATTCGTTAAGGGAATGTGACCTCTGCCTTCTTTGGGAAACCAACCAAAACCCAGATCTGCCTAGTATAGCAATGGAAAGCATCTTTATGTGGGGACACTCCTGACCCCACCATCCCTCCAAGATCCTCAGATGGCTGTTCACTAGGATACATCCATTCCCACCGCTGTCAACCAATACCAGGACGGCACTCTTCCACCGTGAGCCTCTGGCCATCTTAGCAAACAGTATATTATACAGTTAAGAACACAGACTGACACCTTCTTAGCCTGAAGAACTAACAACCAAAATAAACACTAAAAAGAACCTAGATGTCGTGGCACCCGTCTGTGATGCCTGCTGAGATGGAAGGATCTTAAGTTCAAAGCCAACCTTACATGACTAAATGTTAAGACCTCTTCTCACAGCGAAACAAAACTGAGACCCTGAAGCAGCTATCTGAGTTCAAATCTCTGAGCTACTGTGTAACCAAGTGTGACCCTGGATCTGTGGGTCAAACAACCTCTCCAGACCTCCGTTTCCACATCTGTAAGATGGAGCTAATACCACCAACCTCACAAGGCTCTAAGGGTAAGTCAGCTTACACAAAGCTCTGAGAACAAGGCACAGCACATAACAGAACTAGAGTCCTGGGCTATTCTAGTTATCAGCTCCCCACCCCCAACCTGCACCCCCACCCTCAGCTCTGTGATGTACCAAGGATTATTCAGAAGGCTCTCCTGATGCAAAACTTAGGCAGTGAGTCTATGGAAACAATCCACGTCCTTAAGGGCAGGAATGATCTCACAGACTTTACAGGTCTTACCTTTGAGCCCTAAATCCAAGCACGGGGACTGCTCCGGAACCCTGGAGGGGGTTGTCATCATCACCACACTACTACAGCACAAGCAACCAGCTAGCCTCCTCCGCGTCTGCCTGCTTCAGGCCTAGCCTTTCACAAGTCACTCCCCCACCCACTGTGAGTAGTGGCCTTGGCCTTGTCATTTCCTACTGCCCAAAGGACACGTGGACCAGTCTAAAGAGGCTTCTTTAAAAAAAAAATCTCCCCTAGTTTATCAGGTAAACATTGAGAGGTTCTAAGGTTTCCTAGTAAACAATTACAAGTGGGTTTTTTTTTGTTTGTTTGTTTTTGTTTTTTATCTTTCAGAATAGTTTTCATGTGGAGCCTTGTGAATCATGTGACATGGTCCACATTCAACATGATAGGGGTCTGCTCAGTGCTGAGCTCATGAAATCCTTGAAATTATTCCTGAAGCAGCCCTTTGCTCACTTCTTCCCTAACTAGATAGAAAAGAACAGGAGAATCATTTTGAACACATACACAGAGAATATGTGAATGAAAATCTCTCAGAATACATGTACAAATCGGAAATGTCAGAGCAAGGCACAGACTTGAGTCTATCTCCCGGAACATGCCAAGGCTGTATTTCTATTGCTGACTAATGTCGATTCTGACCCAAGGGACAGAAGCCACCAAGTAAGAAATGGCAGCAACAGGCATTATGGCACAGACAATTTGGTCTGTCAGTTCAGTGCTTGGGTGAGGCTGAGGCAGGTCTGAAGTAAGAGCAGTCAAAGGCCCTTCTTCCAGGGGCCTCAAATCAAGTGCTTGTTTTTGTCAGTTAGAAAGCACAACCAAGGTGTGTGGGGGGGGGTCACCTTTCTGCTCTCGCCTGAACCCGGTGAAGCCTTCCCAGGGAAGGAGCCAATCTGGCCACGTGGGAGGGACACCAGATCAAAAGTAGTCCCTACCTTGGTAAATAAGAGAACCTGCAGCTCAGATGCTGCCAGAGTCTACCAGACTCCCAGGGGCCTGTCGGGTTTACAGGGAAGCCAGCTCTTATCTAGGAAAGCAGGGGACACCTGAAGAGGACAGGGAGAATCCAGATTGCTAGCCTCAGTGAGCACACCTTACTCCAGGTGCCCTGAGCTCCATCACTTCCCTTTGGCACTCATACTACCTGGGTCACATCGGGAGAGTCCTTTATATCCCACTTCCTCTTTGAACCTAGTCTAGAGACACCCACCCATTACAGCCTTGGATTTCAAACCCACTTCCTGTGGGTCTGTCTACTCTGCCATGACTGATTCCTGGGCAGGGAGTGTAGCTGCCTTACAAATTGGCCCTCACTGGGACCCGGAAGGCTCTGAAGGAAAGGCGCAGACTCGGTGGGTTTTCTAGGGCCCCAGACAGAAGCACCAGCTCCGTGGACTAAGCTTCTTCCTGGGTTTGACACCTGCTGGTAGGGAAGGGTCCTGGACCTGCAGGTGTGCTGTAGCTAAGGACGGTTTTCCACTGAAGATGCCCCTGCAGTCCCAGCACTACTGGGGCTGAAGCTGAGGCTGGGGCCGATCCTGGGGCAATGTAATCTTTCGAGCCTGGGTTTGTCCTGAAGCTTGCTGCTTCTTAAAGCCCACAGTTAGGGTCATGCAGGGCATCTTTCCCGTCCCTTAGAGCGGCCAAATGAGCTCTTTTGCCCTTGTACTCTCTCTTGGGTACACAAACATCCACAGTCAGACACACTCCCGGACTAGTGTGTGATCCTGCGATCCCGGGAAGAAGCAGATGGAGTCAAACGCACATTTGGACACGTGTGTAGCACGTCCCCATACCGACAGCAAGCTGCACACACACACACACACACACACACACACACACACACACACACGTATGCATACACACGTGTGCCCAAGAAAGACTCGCAGGGCTTCAGACACAGACGATCCAGGACACCAGTCCTTGCAGTCCCTCCAACCATGCAGCTGCCACCCCAAAGCCCTCCCTGCAGTCACTGGCCTGATACGCATTGGCCTCAATGCATCCCACAAGCAGAGCACTAGGCACTCCCTGGCCGTGCGCGTGGCTCAAGTTTCCCAGGGCGCGGGTACCTTGGATGTGTTGTTTGATGACATTCTCCAAGTGGTCCAGCCGCTCGATAATTTTCAGGGTGTCCCCTTTATCTTCCTCAAGCTTCTTGTCGGGCGCTGGCTCCTGCCCCCGCACATACACGCTGGCGATGTAGTTGGTAACCCAGCCCACGTACAGCAGGCAGATGATGTTGGTCATACCGCTCAGGATCACGCAAGTGGACACCAAAGTTTTGGTCTTCCTGGTACACACCATTCTGGGGTCCCTCCTCCATATAGAGCTCCCGGGGCCCCTCCTTGCTGCGCGCCCCAAACTCCCCCGCGCTCACACCCCTTGGTACGCCTGGGGCCTCTGGGGCGCCAGCACCCAAGTCTTGAGGATCTCCAAAGATGGGTCCCCTGACAGTGCGAGCCGCGGTGCCGAAGTTTGCAGCTCCCGCCGCTGGCCACCCTGAGAAAGAGCTCCACAAAGGAAACGAGGTGGGTTTGTTTGTTGGTGGTGGTGTTTTTCCCCCCAAATTCAAAATCCCCTAGTCTTTCCCTAGGCAGTCAGGGGTGGCCGGCAGTGGCGCGATGCGACCTGCAGTTCTGGGAAACTTTGTCACTGCCAGGGCCCGCTGCCGCGCTGCTTCCCATCTCCAGCGCCCGCTGCCTGGGAGATGCCACCAGCCCGCGTCGCTCCCTGCTCAGGAGAACCGAGGCTGTGGCAGCGACCCAAGGAGCGAAGCAGCACGGCCCGGCCCCCTCCGAGCGACAAGCGCCGCCACCAATCGCGCTCCGGCTCTGGAGAGGGGCCGGGGCTGGGCGGCTGCGGACCAACGAGTAGGGGCCAGGGGGCGGAGCCCCGCCCGGCGCCCCACCTGCTGGCCACCAGCTTTCGTCTGGGACGCGCCGGAGCTTCCCGGTTCTCAGACCACCCGGACCCGGCTCCTGCAGGCCACCAACCGCCAGTCCCCGACCCAGGCCCGCAGACTCCGCCCCTAGGGGAATTCCGGCTATCTTGCGCGCAAAGGATCCCAAGCTTGAGGGGTGGAGGTGAATACGATGTTCATGTCCCCTCACCTGCCTCAGCTGAGGGCATTCTGCTGCTTTCCCTCCTAAAAACTGAGTCCTTACCCCGCCCCCCGTCGTTTGTTGTTGTTGTTCTTTTGTTTATTTATTAATTTTTTTGATAATCGAGACGCAGAACATAGAAGTGGCCAAGCCTTTTAATATCCACTCCTGATTCGCTTGCGCCTCCACCCTGCCCCTGCCCTCTGCTGGTCTCCAGGGTGTCACCAAACGCCTCCCGGAAATCTCTAGGAGAGGCACTAGTGAACTGTGAAAATGTCTCTAAGTCACAGTTGCTCCCAAGATTGTTTAAGTCTGTGCAGTTCCCATGACGTGGTCGCGTCTTACAAGCCTTTACTGTTTATGGAGCCCACCATACCCCAGGTACAGGGAAACCTTATATGCAGTGATGGGGCAGGAGGGAGGATGCCATTCTCCACGACCTGTAGAGTTCCCACACATACAGTCCTCATGGCTATGCGGAGGGCAGCAGAGCTTTGCTGGAGAGGACCGGAACTCACAGCAGAGGGCCCGCTATGTTTCCTAGTCCAGCAAGTGCTCCTTCATTTCATCCCATCTTAAAACGCTCACTTCTCAGAATTCTTTAAACAAAGTCTTTCCATAACAGATTTCCTTACCTTCTCTCCAAGTTGTGTTTTCTGGCTGGGAAAGAAGCTTGAAGATGAGGCCACCCTGTGGGCCAGCACTCCAATGAGCCATGGTGATATATACCAGGCAGCTCACTTACCAGACTTCTGAATTCAACGACCTTGTCCTAGAAAAGAGGAAGCCCCAAACCAGACATGTTATGGCACTTTAATACTACAGACAAAAGGTCCCCAAAGATGCTGAGAAAGTGAAAAACCTCCAAGGCTCTGAGAGGAGGTCTCTCCTCCCCAGCTGGAAAACAGACTGGGGCTGAAGTAGGGAAAGGAGACTGGTGTGAAAATATGGGGCACCTTCAGTTTCTAAAAGTACCATCTGCTGGCTACACAGACAAGGGGGAAAAACCATCTCTCATTCTCCATCCACAGAAGAAGGGTTCTCCATTCACAGCCCTAGAGGCTGCCTGTGGGCTGCCTTGAGCACCGCTGGTGGCTGAAAGGTAATCCTGGGTTCAACAGAAGAGTCCTGGAAGTTCAGCTCTCACCAGATCCTCCTAAAGGGTCACCAAAACACACCTGGAGGAGACAAAAGAACCCCATTTTGCATGTTCTTATGGGCAAAGCTCCAAGACAAAGAAGTAGAGGGGCATTGCAGGAAAGAAACGATGTGGAATGTATGACTTTGTGCCAGTTGATGCTCCAAGACAGGGTGACTACAAAGAGTGTGAAAAAAAGAACAATCAAACAACCACCACCAACATAAACATGGAAGAAAATGTAGAATGGACTCTGGTCTCTGAAAAGCTGCCAGTAGCCACTGAGCCTCTGGTTTCAATCCTTGCTCCGCTATGTGTTATTACATGAGATTGAGCAAGATTCAGAACACCAACAGGACCGTTTCCCTCACGTATCAAATATAGCAATACCTTCTTGTTTATGAGTATAAAAGGAGAGAACATACCACAGGGCTTAGGACAGAACACACAGTGGGTACCGAGGCTCGTGTGGGCATCCTTCCAGGATGTGGTTCTTCTTTTTCCAGGTCCAAGAACACCACCTTGCTGTTTAGCAAACCTTCCTTTTTCTACTGACCACTATCAGTTCTTCTCCCCTACTGGAAGTTATAGGATCTAAGGCTGTGGGCAGCAAGGAAGGGGTTTATCCCTTAGCTAGCTAAGTTCCACCTCATTGGCTTTCTACTTACAATGTCTGTCTTCACCATCAGCAGTTCAGTGATCATCACAGGTTGATAGGATTTTCCAGAAGGAGGGCTCATTTCCTGCAGGCCTTATTACCCTACAAAGCCTTAGGCTCCAGCTCAAGATCCCAAAGCCTTGGTTAGAAACAAAGGAAATGGAAGAGGTGTTATGTAGACTTTATTCACCACTCTCTTCAGAACCACGAGGTCAGAGGGCCTAGTGTCTTTGCAAGCTCCCTTTATAATGGGTTCTTGGTAGAGAGTCATATCTTTGGCCCTCAGTTCAATTATATTCAACCCAAGAGGAACTCACCAAGTTCCTGACATTTTGTGGAATGACCAGTTGCCCAGGACACTTGCCCAGTTTGCTCCAGACCTGTGGCTTCAATGTAGGTTTCACAGTCTCAATAGGGGCCTCTTTTGTGAGCATGGAGAGGTGTTCAATTGAGAAGGTTTGTGACTCTCCACTTATGTCCCTCATCTAACCCCCAAGTGTCTCCTCACTTGGCTTTTAACAAGTCCTGCCTGGGGATTCATTATCAGGCCCTTGATGCTTATCAGAACCGAAGAATCCCTCAATAGTGGAGGCAGGCAGAGAGACACAAAGTGCTGCTTTAAACTTACTCCGAGAATCTGAATCTAGTGTGTCCTTCCACTCCAGCCACTAGACGTAACAACACACACGGGGCTGGAGATCCTGGGGCTCTGCCCTGTATAGACTGAATGTCACCCTTGTTATACACCGGGGAGGCTGCTGCTCCCCTAATGTGACTTGAAAGCAGCCTCTGTGTGTATGGGGGGGGGTATGTTGTTTATAAGACAGTCTCACTACATAGTTCTGGCTAACTAAAGCTCTCTAATGTAACAAGGCTGCCTCTGCCTCTCACGTCTTAAAGACGTGCACTGCTATGACTGACCTTTCATAGAATTTCTTATCCATAGAATTTCTTATCCACATGTCCAGACACACTGCTATGCCACCACTGCTAAGCCTTCTTCAAAATGTCTTTGATAACACAATTAGGAAAAGTGAATCTTGGAATTCAGCCACCAATCCCTTACATTCTGGGCAGGAATCTACTCCTAGGAGAGGACTGACAGTGGCCACCTGTCCCCACCAGATGGCAGCACTGTGTAAAGCCACTGGGCCTGAGGTGCCAAGAGAATTTGGGGGCTTAACCCGAAAAATGGGCCCTGGTGGTGGAAGGCCTCAGCCTTGGGCTGGCTTTGTGGGAAGCAGGGTGACAGACAGGCACTTAAGGGAATGGGGACTGCTGAGTTCCAAGCAAAGATAGATACTCAATTCAGAAACAAAAGCTACAGAGGCCCGTGAATGGGTGCTATGAAGCCATAGTCCTAAAATGTGACTGACAGAAAAAAAAAATCCTACTGAGAGTGGGAAAAGGAAATAGAAAGGTTTGTTTGATGCCTCCCTCAGGCCAGGCCTAAGATCTCATATACTGATCTTGAACATGGACTAGGGAGCCAGACCCAAATCCTGTCATTTACTAGCTGTGGGACCTCAGGCAAATTTACTATTTTGTGCCTCAAGTTCCTTCTGCAAAATGGGATAACAGTGACATCACCTACATCATGGGGAATATTATGAGAATTTAGGTTATATGAAGAGCACTGGTGGCATTGTCTAAGTATTGGCTACCACTGCTCTGAGTGTCCAAATGTCACCCAGAGCAGCTTTCCTCTGAGAGCAAGGGTCAAGAAATTATGACCAAAGGAGCCTCTCATTCCTCTGTCACCTTCCCAAAGGATCTGGAGTAACTCCAGCTGCACTCCAGTGCAGATTCTGCAGGAACCCTGTGACTAGGCCCATCTGCCCCACCCTGTCCCCTTAATTCGGGTCATGTGATAGTATATTCCATGCACATCAATGTTGGCTGTCCACAAAGACTCATAGACTACATTCTCTTAATGGAGGAGGCTAGCCAAGAAGCAGCTGTAGTATGGTAGGATAAGCTCTTAGCTGATGTGTAAATAGGAAAGAGAGGTGCAAACAGATGATGGGGACAGCAACTTCATCCCACTCCCCCCCCCCCCCCCCCCCCCGCCCCCGGCAACAAGTGGTCTGGTGGATTCTGCCATTCAACTACTAGACGGCTCTTCTCGACAGGCTCTTCCTCCCTGAAGGAAAATGTTTACATGTTCCTATAACAAAGGAGCACCATCCACTATATGAAGAATGTATACAAACCAATCCAATGGAGGGTAAAACTATCCAAATTGGAAAAAAATTGAAAAAAAAATAAGTAAACAATGAAAGAGAAAATGCCAACAGCCAAGAAACATATGAAAGGATGATTAAGCTTGCTAGGAGTTAGAAACATTTTTCTAGCTACAGCTGCCATAGTTCCTCTACCAGGTTGATTTAAAAATATAATATTGTAATTCAAAGTATTAACAAGAGTATGTGGGAAATAAGTACTCACAAATATTTCAGTGAGAATGTAATCAGAACAGCTACTTGGGATGTAAGACAGATGATGCACATGACCCTTTGACCTTGCACTCAGAGAGTAGTCCCTGGACCAGTAACATCAGTGACAACAACTATAGAATGTCAGTTCCATCACACATCAACTCAGTCAGAATCTGCATGTCAACACTGCCCCCAAATGCTTCAGATACATCCTCTGAGAAGCCCAACACAAGAGAGAGAACCCATGGTTATCTTGAAGAAGGGTTTCTGGGCCTGTTGATGTAGGCTTGCAATCCCAGCTCCTTGAAAGGCTGAAGCAGGAGGACCCAGCCCTTGCCTGGACTATAGATTAAGTTCAGGGCCAGCCTGAATCCTGATAGGAAGTGGGGTTAGGGGCAGAGACACAGCTCAATAGTAGAGATGTCTACCAA